TCCTTGGGCTTTTCCCACTGGGAGACCTCAGTTCTACAGTTGTAGTAGTACTTCTTCCCAGAGGAGCTAATGTGCTCTGTCCAGTCATCTGCTGGGTCCTAGTCACAAGGAAAATTGAGAGTCAAACAGTTAAAAAAAAAAAAACTTCACCCCAAGTTCGTTTTGCTCAGTTTATACAAAAACTTTCCCAATAACATTGCCAAAGTAATGCAATTATTGTATGCATGATCATTTTTCATAATTTTTTTTATTATTATTGTTGTGACCCTTCACTTCAAAGTCAAAATATCTGATGTTTAGTCAATCTGACAAAGAAGTCACGCCAAGTTAGCTACATGGTCCTCCCACCACGATGATCCGAAGAGCAGGTAAATTTAACCTTAGTTGGGAAAAGAAAATCCTGACAGTTCGTTTTTGGCCAGTTTCAACTTATTGTGTACTTTTTGATTGCATCTAATCCTCCCCACTTTATTCTCTTGGTAAAGCATACAACCTGCTGATCAAGCACTGGCAGACATACACTTCGCTGTTAGATCTAGGTACATCCCAACTACAAACCTTTCTGAAGCCCTACACACTGCCCTTTATACCTGTGCAACCTGCACAGGTATAAATATTGGCACTGGCACGTAGGCTTTTTGTCGATCCATTGCAGAAGCATGCATTCATTTTAAGTACCGACTGTTCATACAGGTTTAGGATGTTCCCTTGTTTTCATGAGCCATAATCTTCAAAGACTATTTCACTGATACTAAAAAAACCTAGAACTGTAAAACTGAAAGCACAGTATCTGTTTCTGACTGTGTTTTTTTAATCCATCCATGCTATGTGATTTATGCAAATCTCCCCCAGATAAATTCTTCCGCTCTGTATAAAAGTACTTCCTTATTTTCCATACGCTCCCTCCTCAAACCAGTCCAGTCTGTCTGGTGAACAGGAAAAGGTTGCAAAGCATTCTGGTAGTTGCTGGTCTGTAGTTCTCTTTTCAGTGTTATTACACAACCCACTTCCCAGCAGTGACATTCCTCTTGAAGCCGTGAGCCATCACACCTTCTTTTGCTCCACTAAGCACTTTTCCAGTCTCAAAGTGCTCAAGTCAAAGTTTCTTCAAGCAACAGTGTCGGTTTTCCAGCACTCACATTTTTTTTCCTGAGGAGCACGCATTCAAGTTTCAAACAACTTGAGAGGATATGAAAGTGCTCTTTAAACTGATGTAACGCAAGGCAATCGATCACTTTGTGTAAATGGGTTACGAAGCTTCAAAAGCAAAGATCAACAAGTGGAAGAATTCATTTAAATTGTTTATTCCAGTGCTTGGAGGTAGCAGTCCTACTTCATTGTACATACTGGCAAGAGCTTACCTGAGTCAGCACATTTGGTAAACATAAATCCATTTTGCTTTGGGAGGTAAACATCTTTCATTTCCGAGCCTCGATAATGGACCGGGGCTTTTGAGTGTGGATGCGAGCTGGTATATTTAATATTAATGATGATGCATATACTGACGACTCTGTTAAGATCTAACATTTCTCATCCACATCTGTACTAACTTTAAAACTGTGCTTTTGTAGGTGAGGCTTGAGCCCTTAAAACATATGATCTCATGCCTTCTCTGTGGAAAGAGTAATTAGATACCACATACTACTAGTAAAATCAACAGTATCTTAGTAACAATTCATTTAAAAAAAATTATATAATTAGATTTTTAGTACTGCAGTTCCCACAGTTATTGATATAACAGAATTAAGATAGACTCTAATGTAATTTGAATATTACACACTTAAAGTGAGCCATGTGTGCTCTGACAAGAGTCTGTAGGAAAGCTTACAAATGCACGGAGCAGTGGGTGCTTGCAGGAGCGGTTCAAATTAGTGTCAAACCAGACAATGTTGAATATTGTATATTTGGTCCCACTGTGCAGTCCAACCAGTGAGAAATAACAATGTGTCTCTCATTCACACTGACAAATGGCAAATCGTTTAAACAAGGAAGTCCACATTCTAATCAGACCATCTACTACACAAGGAGCCTCTTACATAATTATGAAGTTACAGTCAAGCATTGTTGAGTTAGGTTTGATAAATGTCTGCATGAGAGAGGAAGATGGCTATCCATCACGCCCTGCATAAAATGTTCCATAGTGGCGTGGCTGCACTCTAAAGGAATCGCTGAAGGTTTTATAATCAGATAACACTGGGTAGATCCTTACCCTGTCTGCGGGCTTGCTCTGAGCCGCGTGCAAGTCGGTGCCATGGTGAGAACTGTTGTTGTGGGAGTTCTCCTGAGGAGAGCCACTGGTCCCTGCAACAAAGCCACTTGTCAAAGGAGAGAAAGCAAACGAGGCTCTGCTAAGAACTAAATCCTAAGGGAGAGTCACAACTGCACAACAGGGAAAAGAAATCAGCTTGCCTTTTGTTATTTTAGGCTTATACTTGCAGTTTACATTTACGTCTTAATCTGATGGCAGTATTATGGGAAGCTTTTTTTCCCACAACATGACAACTGGCAGGGGTGACCAGAGTCTTTATGACAATAACACATGACAGAAGAAGTTCACATATTATGTCAGGGACCAGCATAGAAACAAAGACAGGGTTGACCTTTATGCCTATCTGAGCCCATCTGTGGTTACCGTCTCCCCTTCATAACCGCCTGAGATTAATCTTGCACCAGACTCACCGTTTTTCCCTCTGACGCTATGAGAGGGTTTCGCCTTGCCATGTCCCGTGCCTTCCCCGTGTCTGCTGACAGGACTTTCGTCTGAGCGTCGCTGCATCTTGTAAGGGGGCACAGGATCTGACGACCCATCGCGCACCTTGTCGTAGCGGTGAAGGCTTGTGGCCTGGCTCTTTGGCTGAGATTTATGGGTCTAAAAAGGACAGTGCACAGCAGAATTGTTGAGATATGCTCAATCTCACACAGTGGTGTTCTTACCTCTCAATCAGGAGACCCTTTAAGTTGAATGAGAGCATTTTTATTTTTATTGTCATTCTATTGACATTTCTAGTAAATTCTTGTTTTGCTAGAGTAACTGAAAGACAAGGGCTGAAGTAAGACAGTCCACATATGAATTACCATTGTGATCAAACTGAAATGTATCCAGACAGTTGCTGATGACCTGCACACTGTGCTGACCTACGTTTATGGATCGTCATGACAGGTGACAGCTAACAACCTGAACATGACATACCTGATACGATTGGGGATCCCTTCTGTCGTTGCACCTGTGGAGACACACAGAACAAAGGTTAGAGCAAGATCTCAATGACGTTTTTTTATTTTCTATTTGTCACTTTGAAAACTGACTTTCTGGAGCATATACAGTTAGCTAAGTAGCTAGCGTTAGCCAAGTTAGCCTGACTTGCCATCTTATCATGATGTGTTAGCTCATACTGTAGTTCACATTGAATCGGTAATGTTTAAAGTATATCTTACAAATACCTAGAATAGGCAGGATTTACGATGTGAATACTATTAGGTGTAACGGTAGTCGACCAGCTAAGGTACATATCCGGAATCAACGGCTAACTAATTGCAGGCTAACCATGCTAGCTAACGGCTACAAGTAAACCTTAAACGCACAAATTAAATCAACGGCGTAAGAAAAACATGTTTCAAACGCTAAGGTCTGAGTCTGATTTACCCATCGCTGACTCTTGTTGGTTTCCTTGCATACATCACCATCAAGACCGTGGTGATGTGTGTATGTGTGTGAGGGGGAACCGTGGCCTCCTGACTGCCTGGCTGCTCTCACAGCTCTTTTCTTCAGCTTCCTGATGTCTGCACTCAGTCTGTCCTGCCAAACAGAGAGCTAAAAGTCACGCACCGAATACCAGCACTGCATAGCGGCTGGTCTTTACTGAAAAAGAAAAACAAAAAAGAAACACCCTCAGTGCACCATCTGCCATGCAGTTACGGTATACGCTAAACTCGGCCGATGTAGTTCAGCGGAAGGCAGCAGATGGAGGAGGAAACGGCGAAGGCAGTAATGTTTGGCTAGGAGGATGAAGTTCCTGTTTGTCTTTTCAAATTAAAATAAAAATTTAGTTATGCGTTTAGAAGATTATTATTATTATTATTATTATTATTATTATTATTATTATTATTATTATTATTATTATTATTATTATTAACGAAAAGCAAGACATGTATTATGTGAAACAGAATATCGCAAAAGAACTTCCACTCTTCCGTTTTAAAATTATAAAATATATGCTTAAGTCAAAACCACAAGTAACTGGGTTATCATTTTTAAATAAGTAATTATACTTTTTATGCGATGCTGGCAAAATGGCACAGAATAACAAAAATAACCGCACGTGGTTCTCTAACAAAAAGTGTTTGATTTTCACACCTCACCGTGGCATTTCCGCGTTGATGGGCTATTATTTTGAAGGAAGTCTCATCATATCCCGTATGAGCTCAGCTGTGTCTGGATAACGTGACGCAGTCTGTCAGTGCTGCTGTTGGCTGCTCAAAGTTCACCTCACGTCTCGGTAGTTTTAAGTTGTCAAGTGGGACTCTGCTTCAGCCTGCACGCTTTGTCGCTTTTGTGGTGTTGTCATATAGCTCCCGCACGAACACTTTGCCCAGCGTGAACAGGCCACAGCAGGCTAATATGTCCATTTTCTTACCACCCCTGGGTTTTGGCCTAATTGATACGTGGTTTATGTAGAATAGGGTAGTTGACTATAAATGCAATGAGTCCAGGGCATTTATAGTCAACTACTCAGATGTCTGGAGTCTACTGAGACAAGCACTGTACAGGGTTCCTGATGGACAGTCTGAACTTTGTGACCAGCGATATCTAATGCAGCTGTAGCTATACAGTGTATTCCATTATAGTAACAGAGACCCCAACATCACCATTTTCAAAATCAGAACATCCATATGTTTCATCATGTAAGACGTTATCTAGTACTAATATTGTGCATGACTGAGTGTCTGCAGTCATATGTGGGTAGCTGAACTGAAATAGGTCAACATTAAACTCCATGCTGTGTAACCTCCATGATGTGATTGGCGTATCGATTGCCTGCTGGCTTTATTTGTGTCAAACCGAACACATATTGATGGAATAAGAGACGATCTTTCTTACATTGCGGTCAGTGGAACAGTGCATAACCTTTCAATACAAGTGGATGTTCAAACACAGCCTGTACTCTTTACATATTTTAAATGATATGGCTTGCATGACCTGGCCCTTATGGGATGGACAGTCTCTGGTGAGTGCATCCTTCTGTTGTTTTGCTTAGCAGTAACTTTTTTTCTACGTAAACACTATTGGAATTTAAAAAAACAAAATAAGACAGAAACATCCTTTATAATCTTTGTAACATGGCCTTGGAATATTAAAAGAATTAAAACTAAATCCTAGATAATCAATGTTGAGATATTCTATTCAAGGTGTTTCATTTTTTAACTGATTTTAGTGACAGAGCATTAAAAAATTTCTCATGATTTTTACTATTTGTTGTTAATGCGTATGAACATTCAAAATATTCATTATTATATTATTTCACATGTTTAAATCAGTTTTACAGTATTGTGTAGCTTCAAACTCTTTGTACCTCATACATGCATGCATGAGTAACAACAGAGTAACTCATACATAAATTAGTCTGTTGTGAGAGTGCAGGCCTTACTGTTTTTGGTTTTCACATACATTTCCAGCCCAAGAACAGATTTTTAGATATAAATCTAAAACTGAACCCGTGCAAAGGTCCTGCAGACATTATCCTCTACCCACGCTGGTGGATAGATCATGGGTAAAACTGTTGTACAAGCAAAGAAAGCAACATGCTTTCATCAAAGTAATGCATTTTTATATATTTATTTTGAGATCTAAACTGAAATGTAATAACTGAGCTTTGTTTTGATCTTTTCCTGAAATTATTGCAAGAAATATTGATTATTTAAACACGCCAAACTGAAATATATATAAATAATATATATAAATAATGGACATGGCTTTGTTGATACTTGATAAGAACTGTTACAATAAAAATCAGCAATAGGGGGCACTAATATCTCAGTATGTTGTTCGGGGCCATCTAAAGACAAATACACTCTTTCCTTTTTCCTTTTCACATGTGGTACATTCCCTCTTTACACAAGAAAAAAGAGAGAGTTTAAGTCTGCTGAGATGGTTTCTTTGTCCTTTTTTTCTTCTATTCTTAGGAGGGATGCTAAACCAAACTGAGCATAGAGGTATGTAGAATATAGAATATGAACCAGAGTATGGTTTCATTATATCCTTTTCCTTATATCCTGTGTGATGAGCACAGTGACACTGAATCTTCCATATAGGAGGCTTTTAATCACACCTTTCGTTTAACCTCTGACCTCTCTCATCTGGCTTCTGACCTCACCTTCTGACCCTCAAAAACACAACCTAGAAGATAAGAGCAGGTGCAGGTTTGTTCGTTTGTACGTGTGCTTATGCATGTCCTGCCACTTACCCGGTAGGCATGTGCATGCTGCTATCGTCAATGATGTCTGGAACTGAGCCACATACCGACAGAGAGGAGGACTACAGGTTTCTCCACAGCATGCTGATGGAGAAGAAGCTTCACTTGCTCTTCAAGGTGAATGCACGTTTGTGCTGTAATGAGCTGTGATCACTCAATCTGTCCATCCAAGTCACAGAATTCACTTTATTTAAAGTGAATTTGGTATTCAGATCCTATTGTTAGCAGTATTATGTGTTTATGTTTTATTATGTACAAGTAATGCCACTGGATTAGAGTGTTGTTAATATTATGTACACTGGAAAGTGCCACAATATGTACTTCAGGTACATATTATGCACAATTAAGATACTTATGATTATAACTTATACTTAAGTAAAAAGATTAAATACTTATTTTCCAGT